GGGCGACGCGTAAACGATGAATTGTAATTAGACTACACCATTTAACCCTGTCAATCTGTACAGTTTTAATTACCCTGGAAATGTTCTGGCCTGATGATGATTTGCTGAACACATATGTTTGCCAACTTGACTTCTCAATATACTGGTGACATACGAAGCAAACAAACCATAAGCACAGTCAGACCAGATGGGAACCTACGTCTGAATTGGTTACATAGAGGGGCTCCCTCATCATAGTCCATTGGACATTCTCTGTGCAAGGCGGTGTAGTGAGAGAACCCTGGTAACGGAAGAACCGGTCCGTGTTCTCGGGCAGCATTACTGCCGGGTCAAAGTACTGCAAATTGACTGTCGAACCTGCATAAGTCAGTTGGTCGATCTTCGATAGGAGGTTGCCCATTTTTGATAAACTTGATTTGGAGTGATCAGTCGTCAGTTGGAAGAAAACACCAATCACGACTAGACCGCCTGGGGCTGTTACCGCTGTCCGCATTTCGGGGTACATGGAGGATTGGCCGACAATGTGCATCTGGAGAGAGCGGGGTGTGGGCGGGTCTTTAACAAAAAGCGTATGGGGAAACCTCCGAAGCATGTTCTGTTGTTGAACTAAAGCAATAAGAGTTCATTTTCTGTTTGCCGGAATAAATTTATAGAATTGCTGACGTTCAGAACAGCTGGGGCGGCTGTCCTTTGTCAAAGCGAATACTGACTTTATCGATCAGCAGGTTTAAAGTTAAGGTAAGCAGGAGATGAACTCTTATTCTTATCCCAGAATTCTGACTTTTTAAAATTTTAACTGAAGGAGTCGGCAAAATGCGGGTAAGTTGTCTGATTTTAAAGAAAATTAATGCGTGCGTCTGGAGTAAAGCCCTTGCAGTTTTGGTCCGAAATTTGATATGCATGTATATGTGAATTGAAATTCATAATCTACTGCGATAAAACCATTTTATATTTGTGGACTGGTAACAGAAATATACGTTATGTACTTATTTACAATACTTCGAAGATATCTGCTTATCCGAGGGTCCCCGGCGTTCAACATGCGTTTGCTGGTAAAAGAACTCACAATTTAACCTGCCTTGTCTGATACTCGAGAAATTTCCCCAGGTTTGCGCTTTAATTTCCTCATTAAATAAATAAGATAATTTGAAGTAGACTTCATATACAGGAAGAGATTGCAAAACATGGGAGACGTTCTAATGACTCAAACCTCTTAGCAGAAAAAAACAAGCTGTTTAAGAAAAAGGAAAGGTCTAAAACGCGAAAATTCATCTCACATGAGTAAGCTCAAGGTTTATGACTCCATACTGCCTTTCCATGCAAATACGAACTAAATTTAACGCTTCAGGCAAAAAAACGTTCAGTAACTTGTTTTTCGTCAATATTTTTACTAAAAAATACCATTTATTTCGTGTTTTAATAAGTCAGGCCTAAAGTCCTCGACGCAAAATTTGGCTGTTATCAGTCGATATAATTTTCTCTTTTTATTTTGTCCGAGGTGTAAATAAACTACTTGAATGCCTTACTTTTACTGCATTGCGGAAATTAATTGGATACCTTATAAGTTAAATGGTAAGGTCGAGAAAACGTTAGCATTTTCCGCCAATATGTTAATTTTCGCGAATTTTAGTGAACATTTTTCTGGTGCAAACCTTAAAAATCGCTTTTGCTTTATACTGTCACCAGTGCCGCTATTTGCCTTTATTTTGCGGCTATATTGTACGATTATAAATGATAATATTTAACCCGGTATGTTTACCATGTTTACCAGGACCCATTGACAGGCAAAAAACTGCTAAAACATTCATTTTACTATCTTCACAATTTAAAATTGATATACACTAGGCATTTTGACATCACGTTGTTCTGCATCATCAAATTTCAAAATAATATCAATAAAGGTAGAGGAATAATTGTACCTTAGGCAACAAAACCACACGGATTAGCAAATCTGCATTTAAAACAAGTAGATACGCGTCCCGTAGATACGTCCCATAGGTAACACCGGATATGTGCAGCGAGCCCTCTTTTAGTTAACTTCTTCAGATGATACTGTTCTTCTCTTAAAGAAAAACTGGATAAGCTCAGCTAAACCCAGGACAGCTCTTATTGGGCCGTTAACAATGAAACCGTTTACTGTGGCTTATGAACAACATTGACAACCTCTTTTTCAACGGTGGTATTGTATTTCAATATTCATCTTTGTTTAAGGTCGCTGCATATACTTCTTTTCTCAGTAAGCACTGCTCATATTAAAATACTAATTTATTTTTATGTTTGGTGTTTAATCAGGAAAACGGGTGCAATTCGTACAATAATGAAAAAAAGGTTTTCTAACACACTTAATTACAGCACAGCATTGTTAACTGCTGCGAAGCCTAGTGGGAATTTTCGTTCTAACCATGCTACACGTCCGATTGTATTAAAGCGCTTTGCTGATTTTCATGTCGGTAACCGTATCCTTACCTCCAACATGGTAGAGCAAAGCATGTTTCGGCGGTCATTGGCCATGCGAATAGCGCTCAAAAGCTTGGTTTAGCAAAAGTAACTTCGTGGAATGTTCATTTGGGTCCCAAGATAATATATCTGATTATAACACTCAAACAATATGAATACAGAGCCAAACCTCGAGGGGGAAAGCCTTGCCATCCATGTGGTGCTCCGAACCCCTGTCGTTCGCACCTCCCCAATGGAAGTGAAACGACCTTACTTCGAAGTAGTGCTTTGCCTTGTCATTCAGCGTGATTGTCCACGTCCTATCCGGAATGGAGACTGACACTGCAATAGATGGACTGATACATGACGCTTTCAGGGAAAACTGCACACTATGCTCACAAAAAACAGACGAAAGAAGTAAACCGCAATTGGTAGCTAGCATGACTGCGAAATGAAAGGCTTGCTGTGTGGTTTGACAGCCAGGTGGTGCAAAGATAATGGTGGAGGAGTTAGTTCAGTATAGTTCAGTATATTAAGGGCAGTAGGCAATGCCTTTGAGGACTCTATTGAAAACAGTTTACATAAAATATCCAACATAAAGCATGTTACTATAAATTAGTAAGTAAAATATGCACATGTAAAATGTTGTTATCTATATGTGTGACCAAAGCGTTCGTGTCTACTTACAATACTTGCCTGTGCACATGAACGGTATCTACTGGCTAAATATGCATTCAGGATGCGTTTGAATGCATCTGTCGTGTTCGCTATTGCGACCTCCTCCGGCAGTCTGTTCCAGGCACAGATGACTCGCTGTGAAAACCAATGCCTGCGCACATCTAGATGAGATAATGTTCCCCGCAGTTTGAGGGAATTCCCACGGAGGTTGGTTGAGTGACAGCAGACTTGCGTTGCAACTACCACACTCTCTTTCTCCCTTCTCTCCGTTGTCGCGTCTGAGTTAAGAGGCAGATTCGGTTGCATGCTGTTGGGGTCGCCAGGCCTGAGTCGGATATCCAAAATTTGGAATTTCATAAAGGCCTGGTGCATGAAACTGCACACTAACAGCCATTTGCTGATCTACCCCCCTCCCCCCGAAATTGTCTAGTGTATCTTTAGTGGGCCGTTGCCTGCTCAATGTCTGGTCTTCGTGTCGTGACCTCAATCTGTCTAGACTTCAAGGTCGTTGCGGCCGCCAGACTTACTGGCGCAGGGGACATGGACCACCCACACGTTGTCCAACCAATCACAGGCCGACCTAGCTAATGAACGTTCTCTCTCTCTCTCTGTCTACTGACCTGACTGCTCTCAAACTCGCACTTGGGACCCGGTCAGTCTTCTGGATGGTCGTGTTCTCCCAAGTCAGACCTCCATCTGTTCTCCGTCCTGTGTACACAATAAAATATTCCTACTATTCTGGCCTCCACCGACTCCTCCTCTCTTAGGAACCGGGCCTGGAATATTGCAGCTGTTAGGGTTAACAGTCTTAGCCTTAACTCCTATACATCTACTATGTGACCCGCTAAGGAGGCTACAAGATTGTTAAATACCACATTCGGCAAAAACGGGCCACATACACACTTCTAAGAGAAGTAGAAAGAGAGAACGAACGACAAAAAAAGAATAATATACGGGTGGTTATGATGTTTGAAACGGTGAGTGTGTCAGCCGGTGCTGAATGCCACA